CAACAGCACTTAAATCACAAAAGTTATTCCAGATTTCTATTGATGAAATTGGAACAGGACCCTAGATTTCCTTCAGAGTACCATTAATGTTTTACAACTTCAGAACCATCTCCAAAATCTGTAAATAAGTCTTCTCTGTCCCAAGTTTAATCCCCGTTTTGGGGTCTTATCCAACCTATATCCAGACCATGTTGTGTGAAATGAACTATGTGGTCTAGGATAAGTCCAACAACTGCACAAAATTTACTTTTTCCAGGTTTATAGCTCCTAAACCGGGGCCGAGCGGGTGCTGTACCTCCCAGTCCAGAACGGAGGCCTGCCACTGAGCTATCTTGTCAATGTTCTCCAATCTCCGCTTCCGCTCGTTGATCTGTAGGGTCACGTTCCTCATGACGGCGAGAGCAGCAGCCACATACCTGTAGTCGCTGTTGAACACAAAACAACAGCCCATGAAACGGAGCCTGATGTGCAGGGGAAATGCACAGGGGTCTCTCGTTAGCAGCAGCATAATCCCACCCTCCTTTCCAAAAGCAACGCAGGCAGGATTTGCCGCTCGTTATTAGGACACCGTATTTTTTTCCATCAGCAATGTCTTTGTGGATCCCAAAAGAGCAGCTTGCTTGAAACTGAAGTTGTGTGTGTATGAGACAGAGAAACCAGCCAGCTCCTCAACTGGTTTGCATGAGGGGAGCCCAACTGGGAACAGCTGAGCCTCCACCGACCCAACAAACAACAGCGGGAGGTAGCGTTCTTCCAAGCCTTAAGGTGCTCAGCTGAAGAACATCCTAAAAGAAAGTCTGAACATTTTCATAGCCTATGTCTTTGGGCCTGGATTTTACCATTTTTAAAACAAACATTAGAAAATATTTTTTCTATTAGACACAAGGCCGGAGCCCCTTCCAAGCCGTAAGGTGACTCCACGAGTGCCACAGAGCATTCAGCCCTTGGCACTCACTCTTACTGCAGACTTCAGGTGAGCAAATCAAAGCAATTTTGGTTTTTTTTCCTGGACGGGGCTGTGAGTGTAATAACAAAGAGTGAAAACAGCCTCCCGCCAGCGCCAGCAAAGATGATGATCAGTCTTCTCAAAAAGTGATGCCGAAATCAATGCTATTGATTTCCACCCTGTGCCTTCTTCTCCATTCCAAGGAACCTTAATGTTCATTTCAATCGGAAAGACAGACAAGGCCAGCTGCCATAATGCCACCATAATATATTATTAACTTAAGGGCTGATATTGATTGCTGACTAATGAGAAAAACTGCGATCTCGGGCAGCTGCAGGGGGAATGGCTTTATTGATTATTGCTAAGAATTGCACTGGTGACAGCTGAAATAGGGGTGAATGCTGTGAATTAGATCCATTTCCCCATGTGATCCAAACAGGATAAATATTAAGACACAATCACAATATGATACACAACAGAACATTATTTGCTATTTTGCCATCCTTTCTTGGATGCATGTTCAATTTTTATGCAATTCCTATGTCAAAATTCTAGCGCGGTTAAAAAAAAAAGCCTACAAATTCGAGAATATCAGGACTGGTCTTTCAACAAAGTAAAGGAAAATAGAGGATGGGCTGCCTGACATATCCATCATGATACACAACAAAGAATGTCTTGTGCCTTCCTTTGTGGGGCCATCTGTATGGAGTGAGTGCTTGGTTGTGTAAGGGAGAAACGGAGCGGTGCCAGAGAGACATTAGTCTGGTCTTCAAAACGTCCATGAGTTCTTGTAGGACAATAGCTGAGTCACTATGGCCAGAAAGGATCTACAGAGGTAGGAAGAGGTGTAGGGCTTACAGACAGTCACGAATGACCTCCTAGCAATTATGCCCATGCAAAGAAGGGAGGCTAATGTCAGCCCACCCATTAGCAGAGTCTTCTCCTCATGTAACATGTTCATACACTCTTAACTCCAGCTCAGTTCCGTGGCACGAATGCTCAGGACACCAACAAGCTACACTTAGGACCTCCATATATTTAATTCATATTAAGCTGGAGTAAATCTTTAAGAGGTGAACAGATGTGGCTTTGTGAAAAATTCAAATGAACCAGTCTCAAAACAATAAACAATTGAAGGGAGCCAGGCTCTGAAAACATCCCCACGCCTGCCTCCATGCAGGCCAGTGCCAGTCAAGCTGGGTTTTATCTTGGTAATGTTAATTCACTAAATCTAATGTTATCTTGGAAGAGAAAACCCCATGCACATTTTTCTTTCAAGCAGTCAAGAAGGAAGAGCCATGACTGAACTTTTTGGGCTCCTAGCCCATGTCTGTGGTAGAGCTGGCAAAAACTTAAGAAGAAAAAATAACAGAAGCAAAGCATTTGGCCAGTGAAATAAGAATGGGACAGCACTAACTATGAAATTAAGGTAAATAAATTGTTTGTCAATTATATCGGGGCTGCAATGACCTCTTTCCAGTGCTCAAGCAGAATGCAAGTTCAACTCTTGCCAAATACCACATGCTGACCTGGGGGAGAGCGGTTGTTGTCCTGACCTGGGGCAGGGAAGACCCATAGTACAGTATAAGTGAAGACACAGAAAAAAAGAAGAATCTGATGTCCCACTGTCAGATGAAGCTAGCTTATTTGCTTCCACTGGGACTCCTGGTCCTTTCTGAGTTTTGCCTGACTTCATAAATGGTTCAACTGATTTAAAGGTTTTTCTACATATTAAATTCTACTCCGAGAGCCTAAGAGACTCCTAATTCAGCCAGTGATGACCCTGATTCCATTGCATTCGTCCACTGTAATTTTCCAGCTTCTGTTGCAGACTCACAATCTAACTGGGAGCACCATCAAACCGCGAGCGCGTGAGGACAACCCACCGCCTGACCAACAGGCGCAGCTGAAGCTCCCGTTGGCTCCTCAGTTCCTCTGGTTCCTGGCTGACCCTGATGGTATCCCAACCTGCAGGTATCTGAATGTGGGGATGTGGATGCCCCATCCCTGGAGGTGTTCAAGGCCAGGCTGGATGAGGCTTTGGGCAACCTGGTGTAGTGGAGGGTGTCCCTGCCCATGGCAGGGGGGTTGGAACTAGATGATCTTTGAGGTCCCTTCCAACCCTAATCATTCTATGATTCTATGATTCTATCTGGCTTTTCCCTATGTCTGATATTGTCACAACATGACATTCCCCAAAGATTATTTGCTTTTCCAATCTCAAGCTTTGCTCGTCTCAGCCTCAATCCCAAAGCCAGAATTACAAGAGGAGAAAAATATTTGTATTTCAAGCAGGCAACCACAGCAGTCTGGGTTTTCTGCACAGCCCCAGTGCAGAATCATCTGATGGTGAGTAAGACACATTCTCTGTGCCTCGCTTTTCCCATGTGTGGCACTAAGCTTGTCTGGGATGTCAGCTGGGTCGTCTGGAGGATCGGTCCCTCCCAGGTTCTCTGAACACTTGAACCGGAGGAGCTGGGCCACAGGGAATTGTGGTGTTACCCACCCCGATTCTGCATTACAACACCATTCCTCCATCAGTCAGTAAACTCTCCAGGCCATGCCTGCACGAGGGAAGTACACCAGATGCCAGCACTGAGATATGGCACAGGGCAAAAGCTGGCATGAGTTTTGTGTATGCATCATGTTACAGCTTCGGGGGGTTTACTCTTTACTGATGCAAGGCAAGAAAATATAATCCTGCTCTCCCTTTTCAGAAAAGGAAGAAAGAAGAGAAATGAAGTGTCCATGGCTGTGTCCTATCACTGACACAATCCAGTGAAAAGGAGCTCTCAGTCTGAATCAGCTACTTGTTGCTTAACCACAGGAAAGGTCCGAGTCTCCTCAGAATATGACTATATCTGATTACTTAACAACATGTTGATTTTAAAACTTCCCAAAAGAAAAAGGAACGCACTCCCAAAATAGTTCAACCCTCGTGTAATCGTGTTGTCCACATCCCCTTTCGTACTGCTACCAAATAACTCGGAGAAGGTGACTTCAAACACAGACCTCTTCTCTCTGAGGCTGCTTATGGCTTCCCACCATAAAGCCACATCTGAATTCACACTGTAAGCACTGCGGGGACATCACATGGCTGGGAAGGAAAAAAGCCACAACATTTGGGGTCTTGGAGCTGGTTTCTGATACTCTAACATTCCCATGAGTCCACTCCAAGTTTGATTTGGTCTCGTTACGAAGGGAAAACCAGAAATTGGATCTGGAGCCAAACGCATCTCCAAATGGGTGATTCTGAACTGGGCATTCAGCCGGTACGAATCGGTCAATTTGTGAACCGGGTCAAAGCAAACCAATGCATCTCTTTGCTCGTATCACGTCTCTCTGCACTTCTAGAGCTGGGTTTGGGGCAAAAACGAACCAAAAATTCAAACACTTGCAGAAGTTTCTGAAACATTTGCGGACGTTTTTGTTTTCTGAAGCACTTCCTTGTAAATGCATTTTGGAAAAAGAAAGAAAATTGGTGAGGCAGCAGAAAATCTACTCTTAGGGGGCCTGATTCTTCTTTCACCTTATTTTTATAGCAGTATATCACAAGTGGTATCATAGGTACTATTCCTGGTTTACACTAGGTCAGGGAGTCAGGTTGATTGCCCTCAGCAGCAGCAAAAGAGATCCTGGAAGTTTTGAGAAGTAATCAAACTCTGCACCTATACCCAATGGCAAAACTGGAGATGGAATCAGGCTGAACAGCAGAGCAGGTTCAGAATCATCCCCAAATCTGAGCACACTCAGGTTTCAGTTGCGGACCGTGGCCCTCCGTTTGCTATGTGCTGAGGTCCTCTTCAGGATAAAGGAATGAGCCTTTCCGACCACTGAATGCCAAGCAGGTAATTTTTCTAGTGTAACTGGTAGCACTGGAAAGTACATCCAAGGGTAATTAGTTCACACGCCTGATGATAACAGACATGAGTTTGGCTCCATTGAGAATCGGCGCTTTGAGAAGCTTCCTAACTGTCTG